CCCCCCCCCCCCCCCCCCCCCCCTCACCCCCTCACCTCCTTGTCTCTCTCTATCTCCAGTCCAGCCTCCACCAGGTTGGCCTCAAACTCTTGTCTGATGAGGAACATCTCGTGGTCCGCAGGTTCCGTCGCCGCGTTTCCTCCGGCCTGTCCAAGCTCCACGAAGACTTCGCCCGCGTTGGCGTTCCCCCCCGGGGCCCCTCCCTCTGCACCCTCAGCTGCCTCCGAGCTGGTTGACCGGGGAAAGTTGCCGTTGGAAACGAGAGATAATCGGTGAGACCTGGGAGGACGTACGGAGCTGTGTCTCCGATGGAGGAAGACCAGGACGTAGTCCACCTTCCGTCGGCCGTCGGAGAAGTACAGACCATCTCTGGGGGAGGTGGACTTTGACGGAGAATCCACGACCTGGAGAAACCAGAGAGGGGGGGGGGGGTGAAGAACACACTTCTGTCTGGACACAGTACCAGAACCAGAACCTGGTACAAAAACTACAAGTACTAGTACTCTATCAGTACTCTCTGGTTCCTGGAGGAACATCACCAAGATGAGACGGAGCGATCCTGGACATGGAGGTGGTTGGACAACTGGTTTCTAACATTGTCCGTCTCCATGGAGACGAGACGTCTCTGTCCAAAAGACTGACAAAGATCAGGTTAATGGTGCTCAACCTCTGGCTCAGTCCACAGTGTGGACACTGAGGTGACTGGTTGATATCACTCTACAAATACCATCGTAGTATGGAGTACTGGTAGTTGTAGTACTAGAGTAGTATTTATGTCTTTAGAGTGTAGTTCATTCTATACTAATGATATTAACAATCATCATCATCTTCATCATCATCATCACCATCACCATCATCATCATCATCATCATCATCATCATCATCATCATCATCATCATCATCATCATCATCATCATCATCATCATCATCATCATCATCATCATCATCATCATCATCATCATCATCATCATCATCATCATCATCATCATCATCATCATCATCATCATCATCATCATCATCATCATCATCATCATCTTCATCATCATCACCATCATCATCACCATCATCATCATCATCATCACCTTCATCATCATCATCTTCACCATCTTCATCATCACCATCATCATCACCATCACCTTTACCATCATCATCATCTTCACCATCACCTTCACCATCATCATCATCTTCATCATCACCATCATCATCTTCATCATCACCATCATCATCTTCACCATCTTCCT